CAAAACACAATTCACAACTGCGTTTTCAGTTTTGAGAATAGATAAAAACCACAGGGAGCCAAATGTGGATAGTAAACTGGTTGTTTCAGCATATTATAGTTTAAATGCCTTAATTTTCCTGTTATCAAGGCATGTTTCCAAACAGATACATTATTCTAATACAACATAAGTTTTTTTTAAGTTGGATCTGTTTTTATAAAGGCTTGTATCATTTTCATTAGAAATCAAGAACAATTCCTGTTCCTATCTATTGTTTAGGATGTGTAGTAATAAATCCACATTTCGTAAAATATACCTTATTGTCTTCCAAGAAGTACTTTTGTTGTACCTAAAATAAGCTAAATACTTTTCGGAGAGCAATTGCTCTTGTTTGGTGATTTGCATTGCGATTTTTGAACGTTTTTCGCAGAGATAATCTTGTTTATTTTTTTCTCCATTTTTCCGCAGCTTGAAAATTAAGACCGAGAACTTTTTAGACCGCCGTTTGTCACTAAATAAATGTAAAAAATATTTGCACGTCGGATGAACGACGGCAAATCCATCCACAATTTGCAATTTTCTTCGCTGTTATTTTATATACACTGATCCGTTGTAAGAGGTTATGCAAAAATGTAGCACCTTTTGTATTTTAATATACATTTTTTAGTTTAATAATTATTCGAAAATAATATAAACATTATTTGTTGTTTAATTCTCATTTAATTAACTTGTAAAATGCTTTTTGTTCCATTCACCTACTAATCGGACTATAGAGTGGCCCCCAACAGGTGAGTTATCACAATTAACCATACGCCCTATACCGTAATTTCTTAATTAGGTACTTGTCGTACAAACATATCAAAGTATAATAGACCAGTACTCTGATACATTAGGTGCAATGTGTACTTTTATTTTTTTACCAGGAACGTTATGATTTTTGCCAAATATTTTCCGCTGGATGTCTTTAACATTTCAAATAGTTGTAACTTCAATTTTATTGTTTACTATAGCGATTGTCATTATTGATTGACTCAATTCCAACCAAATTTATAAAAAGCCGATAAAACTCAAATCTAAAAATCTTGAAGTACTGCTTTTAATGTCTTCAAGTGATCCGTTTTAGAAGAAAAAAAATAGTTAATTAAATGTCCTAAAAAAGTTATCTTAGACAACACATTCCGTTTTAGAAATCACGCGTATTCTCGGAAATCTCGTGAAATAAATCATTACCATTTTAGAAAAGCTTCTCTGTATTTTTAGTAAGTCATTTACTTTAATTACAAGTAAATCAAAACATCACAAACCCTGGACTAACAAAGGTATCCGCATATCAGCCAAGCATATGCATTCACTACTGTACATTAAGACATTTACTACCAACGTTTTTGTGACTGAATATATCTTCAAGTAGAGATAAACCTGTCTAAAACTTATCAAAACAGCTAAAAAAAAAATGTACTATAAGAATCGTCTGATAACATTAGTTCACAATAAAATTAATAAAGGAAGGTGGAGACTCCCTATTAAATGCCATACACGAACTAATAGTGAACATATGGAATAATAAACAACTACCACAAGACTGGAATACCGGAGTAATTATCCCACTACATAAAAAGGGAGATCAGCTTCAATACAAAAACTACCAGGCAATAACGCTACTGACTGTGGCATATAAAATACTGTCAAATATTGTGTATGACCGATTGAGACCATATGCGGAACAAATAGTTGGGGGATATCAATGTGGTTTCCGCAGGCAGAAGTCCACTATAGATCAGATTTTCGTCTTGAGGCAAATCTTGGAAAAGATTAGTGAATTTAATATAAACACATCATCTTTTCATTGATTTTGAAAGTGCCTACGATAGCATCCATCGAGAATTTCTGATCCATGCACTGGAAGAAATATTCCAACTCAACTCATTGATTGAAACACTTAAAGTACAAAATAAAATTCTAATTTAAAACGAACTAACAGATACAATCCATGTGAGAACGGACCCACGACAGGGAGATGCCCTATCCTGTATTCTATTCAACATCACATTAGAGAAAATAATTAGGGAGTCAAAAGTCAACACCAGAGGAACAATAATAACAAAAAGTGTACAAATATTGGCATTTGCAGATGATGTTGATATCATAGCTAGAAGCTAAAGAGAGATGATAGAAGCATTTAATGCGATAGAAAGAGCGGCATAAAAATGTTTAGTGGCCTAAATATTAACGACATAAAAATAACATACATGAAGGCCAATAAATCGACAGGCCAAAGAAACCTACAGAATTTAACAATACGAGACTATAACATCGAAAGCGTGAAAAGTTTTACATATCTAGGTTCCCTAGTTACCTTAGACACATATATAAGGGGGTAAAGAAAAATTACATATGGCGCAGAAGATATAACTTTGAACTATACACAGCATACAATGAACCCGAGATCATAACATCCATAAAGATCGGACGTCTGCGCTGGATGGGCCATGTTGAACGGATGTTGGAGACTGAAACGCCAAAACATATAATGAGGCAAACACCAGTAGGGAGAAGGTCAACAGGAAGAAGACTCAAACTTAAATACATGGAACAAGTGGAACAAGATCTGAACTTAAGAACACCAACTGGAAAAACAAAGCAAAGAACAGAACAGAATGGCGGAAAATCCTAGAGCAAGCCAGGACCCAGAAAGTATTGTCGAGCTACTGATGATGATGATGATGATGATGAGAATCGTCTGGGAAGCTCTAAAAATGTTGCAAGGGAAACTTGGTCCATAATAAACGATCTTTGAAATAAACTAACACAACTTAAACATTTTCTCTTCCAAACCATGAAAATCTAAATGAATACTTATCCTATCTAGCATTATCCTATAAAGAAGCCCTTCAACCCTTGTTTCTTAATAACAGCCAGATCAGTATCGTGGATTATGTAAAATTTCTTGGTATTTTTATAGACAGCAACCTTAAATGGTCCCTTTTAACTAGCCTCAGCCTGCTATGCTAATAAGATCTGTTTCGAAGGAAATCAATTTAGCATCTTCCAAAATAACATACTTTTCTTTGTTCGAGTCTCATCTTCGATATGGTCTTCCTTTTTGGGTTCTACTACAGCTGCCCAATCTATTATTATTTTTAAATTACAAAAAAGAGCAATACGGTATCTTTTTTGGCCTCAGTAAAATAACACATTGCAGAAGCTACTTCAAAAATCACGGGATTTTAACTCTTTCCTCTTTATATATCCTATTAACTGAGTTAGTAAAGAAATCTATATTATATTCGGCAAAAAAATTTTACAAACATCATCCATTTTGCTTTTAACATTAAGTTGTAGTTTAAAATTGCCTATTGATACTTAGATATGTTTTTATGACAAAAAAACTTATTTCCATACTTCACACATTAATTAGAAAATTTGTTTAATAAACTCATCGAGTAACAACACATTTTACAGTGAAATTATCTGCAATTAATTTATATTTTCATTTTAAATAGTATATAATTACATATTCAAGTAGAATCTTTTTTGTCATTCTGTAGAATCTTCTTTTATTAGGCTGACTATGATGTTATAAAGCAGTTTATCAATTAGTCTATCTTCGACACTGTGCAAAAGAAATGTATCGTCTAATTATGTAAACGAATAAAAAAATTTGTTGGGAGTGACGACATGAATCGACTCGTTCATTTTCACTACTTAAAAACTGTGTTTCTGAGTTTAATTAATAATAGTCATTGAGAAAATAATTAGTTGATTTCTTACTCTCTTTCGAATATGTTGTAAACGACTGAATTGTTTGAGTATTTCTCACAATTTTTAGCACCTCTTCACCACTATCTTTTGCAATGTTTCTCATCCATCGTTGAGACCTATCATTATATTCTAAAAATCAAAAAAATTATGCACTCAAAATTACATCAGGCATCATAGAAGCCAAAAATGATTATGACGCTAGGATCTTCTCTTGAACATTACTTGATTGATTACTTAGTGTGTGCAACCTTGTCTCATTTCCCCATTTTATACTTATTTCGTCTGATATCTGACCTATGTTTGAGTACATTTAGAGCAAACAGTGGGTACCTATATAGTACCTAATTCTTTTATGAATTACCATTGTATATCTCTATTGTCAAGTCCATTTGTTAATTTATCAATTGTCAATTTTCAAGCAATATCTTGAGCAATAATGTCTTAAGCAAATATCTCTTAAGAATGTTCAGTTGAACTAATCTATCGACCTCTTGTTTCTGGTTCTAAAGCCATCATTTCCGACATCTTTCCCAACTCTAGATTGCTCCTTCTCAGCATTAAAATCTCTCTCCATCTACAATATTGATTTGTTGAGTGTGCGTTGTCATCATCATCATCTCTTTATAATGTTTTATAAAATTGATCAATTTCAACTTGGTCTTTGTCTGCTGTTGAGGCATAATGTTTATGACATTATGTTAAGTTTTACTTGTATTAATATTACGCAGAGTGAAGTTATTGTTGTTTCTGATGTATTAACTTCCCTATCCTTTCCTGTAAGACGTCTCTCAATTCCGACGAGAACAAACTTTTCAAATTATTTGTATCAATTTTTAAATTTGCCGTTTTTTATGTTTTAATACAAGGATTTCTAAGAATTAATCCCGAGGAAGGCCTGTAATGGAAGCGTGTGATGCCTTGCTCTGTTGAATATTGGTTTCCGAGTTTATAGTCAGTAGTATTAGGTTTTGTATATTCTTTAAGTTTTTAACGCATTGCTTCCCCATTGCTTTCTGCATCTTTATGCCGCTGACCAATTATTGATTCCTTCGTATTCGGATTTCTCGACCCTAGTGCCCTGTTACCAGCTCGTGTCAATAAGTGAGGAATCGTCGTGATATCGTCATATCTGTTGCGATAGAAATTTTCAGCTTGTTGGCTTACCTCTTGACTGTCAAATAGTCCTTCTATTAAATTCAATAACCAAAACCAATACATTCAGTATCTGTTACTTTCTTTACAATATAAATATTTCTTAGGTGAAGACGCTACCTCTTCTGGCTCAGGAGGAGGCTGGAAAGACAACGAACCGTCCAGACCACAGTACACCACCACCTTCAGACCCGACTATCCCACTAGGGATCAAGAGTTCACAGCCGCTTTAGGTGGTAGAGCTGAGTTACGTTGCAGCATTGGAAATGCAGATGGTAAGTAACAATATTTACTAAATATAAAAAAAACACCATACATGAGTTATGCACGAAAATTTTACATCCACATTGTCTCTAGATGTATTGAGTATTTAAAGTATTGTTGGTGAATCGCTCTCCCTATATTGAGAACTTGATCTAACATGACCAACAGCATTTTTCTACTCTCGAAGAAGCTGCCTACAAAAAAATCAAAACTTTGAGATGGAGATGGAGATGGATCCACATAGAGAGCTTAAAAAAACGATCCAATTTCTGAAGTCAGTCACTTCTGATTAAAGAAGAAGGTGGAACAAATGGGACAAGATCTTTAAACTCTAAAGATTACCACCTGGAAAAATAAAACAAGGAAGAGATCAGTTATATAGACACATGATACACAGAAAAGAAAGTGGTAGAAAATTAATTAAAAAAAGAAGAAATAAAAAAACACACAAGGAACACAAATGTTTAAAGCAAATTTTAACGAGACCAGCAGAAGTTTATTAGGATTTATAAAATAGGCAATAGGTTGAGCAATGCAATCAAAAAATATCTATAGAGCTGTAAATAATACAAAAATTCACATGAAACTAGAAGATAACGAGGTTGTCTTTACCGAAAAGGAGTAACTGCAAAGAAGTTGAAATAATTCAAAATAAACTAGAACCAATCGAGGAGAGCGGTTGAACAGGCCGCTTATGCCGATGATATTAATATTATGAGTAGAACATAAGTTAAAAACGCAAACAAAAAGGCTAGGTCTGGAAATTAACACAAAATAAACAAAAATAAAGATACAGACGAGAAGAAATATAGTCCCACAAAACATTATACATGAAGATGACATTGAAACGGTTGGAAGGTTTACGTACATAGGAGTAGAAATATATGTTGACGGATCAGAAGATGGAGAAATACGGAAGAGAATAACGTAAGCAAACAGAGGTTATTGTGCCCTCTCTCATATATTTCGGTCTAAAAATGTTCACCGAAATACAAAGATCAGAATCTATAAAACCTTAATTCGACCAAAAGCATGCTATAGCAGTCAAGCATGCTAAAAGAAACATCCAGAAGCAAACTTGACACATTCGAAAGAAAAGTACTGAGGAGAATACTAAGACCTGTGAGGGAAAACGGAAACTTCAGAAACAATATAACAACGAGCTTTATTAACTTTTAGAAGGAAGCACCACTGTCAGACTTCATTAGAATGCAATGATTGCAATGGGCCGGATATGTGATAAGAATGGGAGTGGATAGGCTACCAAAAAGAGCACTGAATGCTAGAATGAAGGGAAAGAGACCGATTTAAAGCCAAGAAAGCGCTGGGAAGACACAGTTAACATCGACGCACAAGCCCTTTTAGGAGTCCATGTATGGAGAAGATCAGCTACAGACAAAAGCAAGGGTGGAGGCAAAAATAAAGGAGGCCAATGCACAATTTGGGCTGCATTAGAAGAAGAATTGAGAAGAGCAATAAAAAAGACCGAACTTAATATTATACATATGAAGAAGAACTAAGCAGAGAGACAGAATGGATTAGGGTTAGAAACTCAAAAAAAAGAAAAACTAGGAATTCGCCACAGGTACAGTCCCCTAAAACTAAAACCAAAAGTAATGAACTGCATACAGTTTAATCTAAGAAAGATAGAAGCTAACTAGGACAATAATTGGACACACAAGACCAAGCTAGTGTAGAGAAACAATAATTTTCCATCCAGACAGAGAGGATTTGATAGAGAGGCGCGATATATCACCTTCGATGCTTTAATAATATTAGTTAAAAATATTCTTTTTCTGTGTTTTAAGGTTCAAACTTTGAAGTAAGTTGGTCAAGAACGGACGGTCGTCCATTGCCTGCCAACTCTATCCAACGAAGCGGAATTTTGTACATCGACAACGTCGAGCAAGAAGCTCAAGGAGAATACAAATGCACAGGTTTCGATTCCAGTGCTAGACCTATCTTCAACGTCAACGCTTATCTTACGGTTATATGTAAGTACAATTTGCTATACTCTTTTATAGAATTTACAGATTAGTGAAAAAAAGTATCAAAAAGTTTGGTATATTAACATGCAACATAATACTTTTCATGATATGTAGCTTTCTGACATCCATAAATAACATGATTCTCTTTTACACATTATTCTGTAAATGTCTTAGAAGCTATTTTTTTATATCGTGTTCTATTAAATATGTTTTTGTTAACTGTAAACTGTTTTTGTTTCTGCGGACAGCCGGAGAAGACATATGTGCATATCTAGGTACTGTGTTTTCATCGGTTAATCACTGTCATTATAGTATGCATATGTAATTTCAGATACTAATCATTCATATCGATAGATCAGCTTCAAAAAAAGTTCGTGTTTATTTTAACATACTCCATACACCATTACTTTGTGTGGTACTAACTTTATTTCTCAAATAATATTACCAAAGTGTAAGAAATCTACGAAACCATATATAAATGATGAATAGAAGAACAGAGATAAATAAAAAAGACAATTCTTAACCATCATTTTAACTTGGACTACTGGTTTTTCTGCTTTACAATTTTAACTTATCGTCTGATTCCCGATTAAAGTTACTTAACCTCTAAAGAAAAACCAAATACCAAATCAGTAATGAGTGCAGTTATATCGTATGTAAGGTTGATCCACTGGTGGTGAAGGAAATCCGCTACTTACTTAGGATGATGAGGAAGTCAACCTTAGCTAAAGTTCCACCACCACAAAGACAATCATAGAGATCCCTACTTTGGATAGTTCATCTCAGAGGTAGTTCGGCTAATCCCTAAACAAACATTTTATTTAATAACTAGGTAGAGTTGTTCCTATGTTACAGCAAGTCCTGTACAAGGTGAGTGAAGTGACAAAAAGTGACTGAAGATCCAAACAAAATTAACTGGCTAAACGCCCAAAAATTAAAAGGTAGCTGAAGGCCTTAACATTATAGAGGTATGTCCTTATAAAACACTTCACTTGCTGCTTTCCATGTAGGGCTTCTGGATGAAAATTTGATGATGGTAGTGAGATATCAGGTCTATTAGTTATTAGTATTAGTATGTGGTGTCTGCTGACTGCATTACATTATTGGTTTTATCTTCCATTGGAGTTGGAAGTGAAGCTGGTGGTAGGAAGGATTTATTACCAGTCTGTTTTTCTTCTAAAACAGAGCAAGGTTAAGTTGTATAGAAAACCAGTCAAGTGTCCACGCTCTATAAAAAGATCTAAATTCCAGAGAATAAGGAATTTTTCATACAGACAAGTTTATTAAAGTTAAAGTGAATGTATAAAAACGTTTTTAAATAAAACAGGAAAGCCAATTATAATATAAAAAACCATGGTCTAAAACTAAGATTTAACAACCTGCAATATTTAAGGTAATATTTAAGCAAATACAACAAATCATACGGCCTTGTCATAAGAAACGAAAGAGGAGAAAGACTGATCCAATTCTGCCAAGAGACAGATATGGTTGTAACGAATACACTTTCTGAATTAGAAAAAGGATTTATACATGAAAAGCACCCTGTGATACCCCAGGGAAAAACATAAGAAACCAAATTTATTTTATCAACATAAAAAAAGGTGTAGAAATTCTATCACCTCAACAAAATCATCCAGGCGCAGATGTCTTCTCATATCATAGTCTATTGGTTGCAAATATCAACATACGACTCAAAATAATTCAAAAGAAAATGAGGCCCAAGATAGATATAAGACTAATAAAAGAAAATGACATCCAGAAAAAAAGTAAAAACAGATATTAATAAGAATTTTACGAAAATAGTTGAAGACACTACTAGAGACATAAAAGAACAGTCGAATGAAATGAAGACATCTATTACCATAATTTTGCATGAATATCTAAAATAAAAAGAGAAAAAAAGAAAGAATGGACGACAGATAAAATATTGTAGATGATGGAAGGGCGAAGAAAATTAAAAGGTAGAAATGACAACGAATACAAAAAGTTGCATAAAACTATATTAAACGAGATAAAAGGAGCAAAAGAAGCATAGCTGACGGAAAAATGTACAGAAATTGAAACACTACAACGCAAACATGACGATTTCCATAGGCACAAAAAGTCAAAGAGGTACAGAACACCCGAAAACAAAGCAATAAAGGTATAGTTGTAGACATTGAAGGCCAGAGTTTGTCTACCATTGAAGATAAATTACAAAGATGGAAAGAATATATGCAAGAATTATTCGAAGATGCAGCACGCAGTCCGATTGAAATAAACAATCCCCATGGCCCAAAAATAACAAACAAAGAATGAACTATGACTATTAAGCGGATTAAAGATGGGAAATCACCAGGACCTGATAAGGTGCATGGTGAAATTTTAAAGCTAGTAGAGGTACACCAAATCACAGCTCTTACAAAGCTATTGGACAACATCTACGAGACTGGATATTGACCAAAAGACTGCCTACTATCAATATGCATTCCAAAAAAGCCAACGCTAAAAAATGTGAAGAACATAGATTAATTAGTTTGATGAGCTATGTAGTTAAAGTACTCCTTACTATCATTCACTCGCGCATATACACCAAATTAGAAGAACTCCTGAGTGAAGTTCAATTTGGATTCAGAGCAGGACTGGGAACAAGGAAATCTCTTTTTAGTTTGCAAGTTCTAATACAGACGCCAGGGATGTCAACTGCGATGTTTATGCATGTATCATTGATTTCGAGAAGGCATTTGATAAAGTGCCACATGGAAAACTAATTGATATGATAAAAACATTAGGACACGATGGTAATGATATAAGACTGATCTCAAACTTATATCTCCAACAAAAAGCAACAGTGAGATTAGAAAATGTCCGAGATCTTCACAGTCGAAAAAGGAGTTAGACAGGGTTGCATATTATCAGCGGCATTATTTAACATATACTCTAAAAACATCTTTAAAGAGGCCTTGGACGAATCAGAAGATGGGATTGCTGTAAATGGCCAAGTTACCATATTAGATATGCAGACGATACAGTGTTGCTGGCAGATAGTGCACAGGGGCTCCAAAGTATGATGGATAACGTTGTAGAAACATTTAACAAATACGGCCTAAAACTTAATTGCAACAAGTCAAAAATAATGATCATTAGTAAGAACACCAACATAAACGCCCAAATTACAATAGGCGATACACCGTTAGAAAGAGTGGAAAAATATGCTATTTGGGCTGCATTTAGGATACTTGGGATCACAGCTACGAAATAAAAATCGTATTGAAAAAGCCAGAAGCTCTTTTAATAGTCCTAGGAAGATCCTCTGCAACCTATCTTTAAGTATCAATATACGCATAAGAATAATTAGATGTTACATCTTTAGTGTCCTACTCTAGTGTCCTAGACCCTGGGCGTAGGCGTATATCCTGGCTGGCTACTCTTAGAAGTGGACTGGTCTAACATCAAGTGACTTATTTCGAGCTGCGTGAATAGAATAAGATGAGTCAATGTGGTCGCCAACATCCATAGAAGATATGCACATTTAGAAGAAGAAAACAAATATTTTATTTAAAATATTTAAATAAAAGGAAATAAAACTCAGAATATTTTACTTATATTTCTTAGCTATAGTAATTAGTTCACTGAAAGCGAGCTTTATTACTAAATATTGAAAAAATTCCAATAAATAATAACAATACAAAAAAGACACTAATAATTTAGCTAATTATTTCGAAACAGACATAAAAAGCAGAAAAAAAAATCCAAAATGAAAAATTGAATCCAATGATAATTTATAGACCTTTGTATGCTAACAACCCAAGCAAATACAGTGAACTTCACAGTAAATCGAGTACCGTCTTAAGGCCATTAATAGAGGTAAAAACAATACAGTTAGGAATGCCCATATTTGGTTTGGAATCTGTAGTTATAAAAACCACTAAGCGAGCCCTCAAAAAAGGGAAGCAATAACCAATAATAACAAAAGTATCCGCTCCAAAACAACCATCAAAAACAGACGTTGCCTTTTCCGCCAAAAGTTTGCTAAAGAAACTGTCCTTAATAGAACACCTGTTATGAGAGAATTGTAAGATCTCTGCAGATTTAAGTACATCTAAAATGTTAGATCTTACCAATAAAGAATTAGATGTAGCAAACAAACAGATTGTTCAGATACAACAGATGATTGAGCAGAGAAAAGCCGATGCACAAAGAATACAATCAGCTCCAGCATGTCACTATAAAAGAAAAACTAAACGACAATATTACGTTCACAAGAAATATATATCCGATATACAATCCATGAACAGAAAACTAAAATAATTTAAAAATAAATATGCAAAAAAGCTCCAAATTATGTACAAAAGCGTTAATGATATTTTTACACAGTACCGCAGAGGCGTAGAATCTGTTACTCAGCCAAAACTGCTCAATAATGATAAAAACAATTAGACGAAACCGTACAGGTAGCTATATCGGAATTAGAAGATATAATTAACACTAAAATATCGGAACTTCAGCAATCTTCTGAGACAACTGGACCAGAAAATAAAAACGTTGAGTCCCATTCTTATTTTATTAAAGCACCGGACTCCCTTGGTAGTTTCAATCGTTCATCCTTTAATTTAATAGATAACAAAGAAAAAATGTTAGGCATTAAAAGAAACTCATCAATAAATATGTTCTCAAAATATCTTGATGAAGAATCATATAACAAAATTATAGAAGAGTATATTTCTAGTGTGCTAAAAAGAACCACAGCACCTGTAACTATCTTTGGTTCAAGACAAAAGCCTCCTGACTATTATCTTCAAGCTCTAGAAGATTGTCTTGCTGGTGAAAATTTAGATGATGCTTCTACTCATTCATCAACATCTTATTCCTCTGGCCATGAGGAACTAAAACATTTCAAAGTTGAGCATTTATTGGCAAAAAACTGGTCTAGAAATCATCAAAAAAAGTCAGAACTAAAGTTAGATAAAACAATTGAAAATAAAGTTTGGAATAAAACAAATGACACTGAAGATACATTTCATGATTTTAAAGATAAATAAGAGAATAATGAACAAAATGAAAGGAAAAAGTACATAATGAAGGAAAGTTGACTAACTATTCCAAAATTTGGAATTAATGAAGAAGAAAAAAAAACACTATCATCAAATTACACTTTTTTGAAGCTGCAGCTCATTTAAAATTAACTTAGCTCATTTAAAATTAATTTAAATACATCATTCGAATCTATACGTTATTTATGAGCTTCCCATTACGTTAATTCTACCTTCTTTATTTATAGTCCCTCCAAGGATCACCCTGATTCCTCCTAGACAAGTAGTCCACCCAGGCGAGCACGCTTATATCAACTGCAGCGCCACTGGCGACCAACCTATCGAAGTCTCCTGGTCGCCTCTAGGACGTGACATGCCCAGATCAGTTTACACCAGAGACGGATACATTCGCTTCAACAATATTCAATTGCAAGATGCCGGTAGATATTTGTGCGTTGCCACCAATCGAGCTGGTAAAGCAGATGCTGTAGCTGATGTCATCGTAGAAGGTTAGTACTGTATTCGTAATGAATTAGTATTATTTTATGCCTGTACAATACTTGTCATCGTTCTGAAAATATTTTCAAGTGACATTTCTATATTATCTACTTTCAAATCACAATTCAAAATTTTATGTTGCAGAGGATCTTTGGCCACTTTTATGTGCTTTATTCTCTATTTCCATTCATTATTTTTACATCATAGGACTAGAATGATATGCTTCTTATCGCTTATATGCCAAGTTACGTCGTCAAACTTTGTCGATACCTACCACAAATGGTCGTTTGGTAGTATCTGTTGAACAGTTTTCCGGTGTATACGAAAACCATCGCTTTCTGACTCGTTTTCTTACATCAACTGCTTCAGAAAATTAATGATTATTTTATAGGTTCTAATAGTTCTTTTTTTCTGTGTATAACTTTATCGATGTCTTTAGGAAGTTTAGAAAACATAGAAAAATTTCGGTATATATAACTGGTTTTGGTGGTGCAAGAACTGAACGACTGAACAGCCTTTCTCTATCTCAATCAATTTCTAAATTTAAACTCGCTACTACCCATCTATTTTCTTCTTCTTAGGGTGCCTGTCCGTTCTGAATGTTCGCCATAACTCTGGCTATGATAACTTTGTTGGTTGCTATACGGAATACCTGTGTTGAGATTGTTCTATACCATGCTCTCAGGTTAGCAAGCCAGGATATTCTTCTTGTAATGGGACCCTTTTTCCTTAAATTTTACCTTGCAAAATGCATTGAAGTAGCTCATATCTGTCTTGATTTTTCATTATATATCCCAAGTACTTCACGATGGTGACCAAATCCACGGTTGTATTCTTCCTCCGTAGTCCTTCTTCATTTGATAGAGTTTCTGCCTTCAATGTTCACGTTTCTAGTCCGCACAGAAGCACTGAGTACACGTAACATTTAAGGAGTCTTATTTTTGTTTTTAGTGTGAGGTCATGGCTCTTGAACACAGAGCTCATAGTCAAGAATGCACTTTTTGTCTTTTCAATGCGACATTTAATCTCTTGGGTATTGTCTCACGACTCATTGATTTTAGTTCCCAAGTAGGCGTACTGTGAGTCACGTTCAATTCTCATTTGGTTTACATACAGATTTGCTCCAGTTATGTTCTTCCCTTGCTGATGATCATTAGCTTGGTTTTGCTGGTGTTTATATCCAGTCCATATGTTCTGCTTGTTTCCGTTATTTTGTTCATTTAGTTTTGCAGCCCTTCTATGGTATTGGAAAACACTATTATATCATATGCATATCGCAGGTTATTGAGCTTGACTCCGAGTACAGATTGAATATTAGTGGTGAAATTATGCACCCCTGTCTCAATCCCCTTAAGATTTTGACCTGTTCCGTATATTCTCCATCTATTGATTCCAATACTGGTTAGCTATTATTTTTAGGACTTTTCCGTCAATCCCTGTCCTCTTCAGTACTTCCATCATTTGTTCATGCCTGACTCTATCGAAAGCCTTCTTGTAGTCAAGCAGGCATCAAACATCAAGCTGACATTTCTGAAACAATACCTGCACGCTAAATAAAGCTTCCCTCGTACCAACGGCGTTCACAAATCCAAAGTGATTGGGTGCAATTTGTTCCTCGCATTTCTAGTAAAATCATTTGTGGATAATTTTTAAAAACAGCTTTATCAGATGTCTCATTAGGCTTATGGTTATATAGTCTTCACAAACTTTTGCTGCTTGTTTTTTGTGCACTCGTACGAACTTCGATTTGAGCCACTCAACTGGTATTTTTCCTGCCTTGTATATTTCATTAAATATCTCAGTTATTATTTTTATTTGTTCTGCATCTAATAGCTAGCAGTTCTACAGGAATTTCATCAAGTTTCGGTGCCTTTCCATTCTTCATTTATCTGACGGCTGCCGTTATTTCTTCTGGTAGGATTTCGGGACCTGAATAATCTTCAATTGTGGTTTCTTGTATTGTTCTAAGGTCGTGGAAAAGTTTCTCCAAGGATTCTTCCCATACTTTATTTTTATCTTCTTTGGTTATAGCAAGATTACTTTCATCATTTGATATTTTTTCGCTGTTGCGTTTTCGGAACTTTACAACTATTTCCTTCACCTTTCGATGAACATTGAAGTTATCATATTATCGACTCTGATACTCCTTTATTTCTTGGCATTATTCTGTTATTTGTTTCTCTTTCGCTCCTCTTATCTTTCTTCTGACGGTGGTATGTACTCTCTTATATTCTTGAAGATTTTTTTTTGTTTTTTTTTTCTGATCCATAAATTTAAGTTATTCATCGGTCATCCACGATTTTCGTTTCTCTTTATCTTTCTTCAGGTGTATCTTTTATGTCTGTGACTTTTTCTTGTATGATTTTCAGACTTTCCTCTATAGTTCCTGCATTTCTGCATTTTACTAGATCTACTTTTAACCAAATCAATTAGATAATCTGCTGTAGAGATGCATTTTTGTTCAAATAAATAATTATATTTCTTATCTATTAAATCTCTTTCAAGACTACGTATCAAGGCCAGCTATCAAAGCCGAACAGAAACAACAGCAAGCTCCTCTTGGCACCAATGTCAACCTTCGTTGCAGAGTAGGCAATCCCAGTTCCTCCACCACTATCCGCTGGTTCAGAGAAGGACCCGAACTTCCGTACGGTTCCCAACAAAACGGAGAAGTCCTTTACCTTAGAAACGTCCAACAACAGGACCAAGGACGGTACTACTGCGAGATACAGACCAGGAACGGTACAGTTAGCGATTATGTTGATCTCCTGCTGACAGGTAAGAAATTTTTCTGTGTATAAATATAAAAACATTTGATATTGTACGATTGTTTATTTTGTAATAGCTGTACGATTTTGTAAAAGACAAATCACGTAAAAATTTTATTGGTGGTTAGATAAAAGTTACAGAAAAGGTATTTTTAATATTGTTTTAGATTCCTTACTTTGGTTTATTATATTTTTTTATTTACTTAATTCGTCTTAAAACCAAAAAAAAAGCAGAAACACACATCACAGAAAGTGATGGAGTCGAAAAAAGCTGCTCAAAAATTAAGTCTAACATCTTAGCCTTGGCCAAGGAAGTTCTTGGTGAAAGAAATATAAATAAAAATAAATCGTTTTCAAGGCGAACAACTCCATGGTTTTGTACAGAAATGAAGAAAAAATGTAAAGAAAAAAAGCTTACCTGAAATACATGTAACAAAATACAAGAGGCATACCATAATTACAAGACAATTAAAAACGAAACACATGCACTTGTAATAAAAATAAAAAATGATCGCTTAGAGTGATTTTCTAAAGAAATGGAACATCATTTTTACGGTCTGCAAAAGAAGGTATGGCGCTTCATAATCGGAACTTCCACTACGTGGAGGACAAGGAGATTCATTGAGCTCCATGCTCTTCCATTTGATCATGGATGTAATCATCAAAAGCGTTAACAAAGGAAGATGATACAGAATGTAACACGAAGAAATAAAAATACTCTATTACGCAGACGACGCAATATTGACAGACCAAGATGAAGACAGTCTCCAAAGACTGGTCCACAAATTTAACATAAGAGCAAAAGAATTTAATGACAATTTCATCTCAGAATACTAAAACAATAGCAAACAGCAAATAACCAGCCAGATGTAAAATAGAAATTGTTGGCATCAGTATTGAACAAGTAATGAAAATAAAATACCTGGGAATTACACTGTCCAGCTATGGAGACCTGGACAAACAAGACAAAAACAAATAAAAAAGAAAAAAAAATTGTATATTTAAAAAACCCTTAAAAGCGCTACATCAAAAAACACGAACGTTTTCGGAATGACAATTCCATCATCAGGTTTAAAAAAACACCTAAAATAAGTATAAACCATTTAGTTAAAGCAAACGTGGTTTAAAATTTTGACCAAGGTTAAAAAAGTAAAAATGATTTACTTACTATGCCTGAGCCACCAAAATATTTGGGTAAAAACCCTTTAAAATAAATGTAGTTACAAAAGATTGTACATAATGTTGTTTTAAATATGTAATGTTTGATATTAAGTTAAATTTGGCTTCAGGTAACATACACCCATGGTTTGAATGAGTTCCAGTGTCCGGAGAGTAAACCTCTTCAAACGGACTACAGCTGGTAACTGATTGACAAGATACCTATAAACGGTGTCGAAAACAAAATGTAAATGTAACATGAAACTATATTAGTTATAATTATATTAATACAGCCAAAAGCTTCAAAAAATTTTGATGATGTTAAAAAATAATAACAGCAATCCAGGTGTTGGGATTTAAAAACTTTTTATTTATTTAATTTTGGATATAAAAGATGTGAAATTACCGATGGTGTTAAAGGTCATGTTTAAGAGAATGACGTGTGCATTAGGCAACCTATGTTACTCTTTGTCGTATGTACAACTGTAAAAAAAAGTAACAACTTGTTACTGTCAAAAGTAACACCTTCCATAGAGCTATTAATCCGCCAATGAACAAGCAGAACTGCTTATAAAGAGGAAGAAAAAGAAGAAGTCTTAAAATGTACTGATCTTCGTTTTGTCTTTCTATTTTTTTCTCATCTCCTTCTTTTTGGCGACACCGAAATCTAGTCTCCAACGAATAAAATGGTGAAAATGGATATTAATATCAGGACTGTGGATCTGAGAAGTTAATATAAATGATAACCAGGCTGTTTTATAAAGAAATTAATGACACGTTTAAGTATATATGCGAAAAAAATCATAAGACTAGGTCATGACGCCAAGAGGTTACTATAGAATCTAGAATGGACAGAGAATTAAAGTCTGAAGGTAGAATAAGTGAATGGAGTTATGTTTAATGTAGATAAAGGCAACCAATGCTAAAACCATGGAATGAAGAAAAAGCAGAAGATTCTTGACATAATATCTATAATAACTACAGTCATTACACTAACTCGGTTTCTTAAGTCTTCTGTAGAACTTTTGGGTTCTCAGTTTCTCCTCAGATCACTTTACCAATACGCAGTTTACTATTCTTTGCAGACTAGTAGTAAACTGTACATCATCCTCATCAGATCGTTAGATGAGACTCTAGAGAGAGATATCTAATAGATATATAAAGAGAGAGAAATAGCTACCTTAACACCAGTGGTTTCAGCCACTAAAAGTGAAGCAAAGAAAAATACGCCGAGCCATGCTGCAGGAAACCATGCGATACAAAGTGAAAACCGAAGATATAAGAAAACGAACTCAGTTGAGTGATATCATTGGAATTGAGACATTGTAAAGTGAACGAATAAAAATTTAACTAGAACACTGACAAATAGCGTTGTAAAAAAGAAAAATGCCTTTGTTAAGCAATAAAATGCTGAGAAACGGTCTCTGCATATTACACGCCAGTTGTCACTAGACTTTTTTCGTGGAATGTATCTGAATATCACCTTTTGTACCCCAAAAGTATCATGTTGACATTTGACAGGCATTCTGACGTAGCGCCATCTATAAAAAACTATATTACTGTCAAACCACACTTGTAGTTTTTCTTATGGTTATACAATGAATTCTTTAGGGGAATGGTATCAAAATTGTTTAAAATAAGATCAACTTTATCCATTGTAGCATTCTTCCTCTATGATTTAAAATTAAGGCTTTTACAAAATAGTACAGCATATTTGTAGTAATTACACAGTACATACAATATTTGTTTAACGTGGCACATTGCATGTATGACAGCACGTCGTGGAAGTTGTGCACCAGGATATTGGTTGTGTAAAAATAGGAAGTGTATACCAGAGACTCTAGTCTGTGACAAATACAACGATTGCGAAGACAATAGTGACGAAAAGGATTGCACAACGAGGATCAGACGGGGTTTGTCTATTATTTAGCTTCACTTAGTTTTTCTCTCTATAGCTCTTCGTTGCCTAGAACTAGTTCTTCGTGATGTCAAGCCTCCCAGTGTAGATGATTTGTTTGGATGTCTATTTTCATGGGGGATGGATAAAACGTATTTACCTTCGCTGTTAAAACAATTAGATTTGTGTTATTTAAATTTCCTGTTTAGCGCTTTAATAACTTATAGTGTAGAGACTTTTTAAATGAAACATAAATACCGCGGTTACGCGATATGTCTTAGACGCTTAAATTTCACTAGATTCTGCCATAAGTAATTTTATATACTATTGGACAGCCTTGCCTTTTATCTTCTTTTGGCCTTTATTCATTTACGTTATCATCCATTGTGTGCCTTAATGTGAAGTTTATCTCCTTAATACGTCTTCGAGTCTCTCGTAAATCCTTGGTACTTTCTTAAAAGTCTTGGATCCTAAATTGTTTATAATTCCCTTTATGATTCTATTCTATTTCTTTTTATTATTTTCTTTATTTGATTATTTTATATGCATTTAAATAGCTTTTTATATTTTAACTTACTTTATTTTCTTTTTTTTTTGCTCAATATTTCATTGGTTTCTTTTAAGCAAAGAAAGTAAAAAACGCAAAAGATACAAAAACACCAAAAATTCTATCCACTTTCGAACCTATTGCATTCTTGCTTCTTCAACTGTCTCTGTTCAAACTTTCCAACATAATTCTTAAAATTTTCATACCGCTTACTCCAATTTCTTTGTAAGCATCAACCCTTCTGACCATTTTATTAGTTTTCAAATCTTATATAACTCTGCAGGAATAATTGTTAATTCTAGTCCATTCATACATCTTGTTAATTGTTTTGTTCCCCTTTTATTTTTTTTTAACTTAAGTAGCTGCCTTTATGTTTCTGCTCTCTTCTCCTATCTTTGGTTTTGCTCCTGTTGGATTTTTCTAGGAAACGAGAAAAAAAATACAAAAGATACAGAGAAATCAAACATTCTATCCATTTTTGATTATTTGACTGTTTTCATAAATGTTGATTAAATATTTGTAAAATAACCTTTTTATTTTATCTCAGTTCTTCCTCTTCATCAACCTCTATTAGGCCTCAAATTTTGTAGAAAGAATCCCCACTTCCAGTCCACTCGTACATTTCTTCAATATTCTGTTTTCTTATTTTTATCTATCTTTTCTTACCTTTAACAGTTATATTTCTATTTTCACATTGTTTTCTTGCTCCACTTTCGATTTTTTGGTTATTTAGGAATACAGAAAGCAAAGGACGCAAAAGATACAAAGAAACCAAAAATGTTCTATCTACTTTCCAACATGTGACTTTTCTTGTATCTTCCCCTGATCTATCTCTAATACTATGGTCATACATGTTAATCCAATACATGTTTTTATAATAACCTCTCCATTGCCTTTTCATCATCCTCTTTGGACCTTCTGTTAGGCCTCAGTTTTATGTAATCCCTTAGGAAGCGTTCAAACATCCTGTGTAATACATCTCTTCGATGTTATGTTTTTTTTTCTTTCTTTTTCTTTTTATTTTTTCACAACTTTCACAACAAACAATTCGCCATTTTGTTTTTTTTTCTGGTTAGTTTCTGCTTTTCCAAAAATATGGCAAAATGTCAGGAATTGCTAAATATAAAAATACCTGCCGAACCATTGCGGAAAATTGTGTTAAAAGTTTTTAGTTTTGACAGTATTTTATTTTATTTAAAAAGTCATTTAAGCTTTGGAGGAATGAATTTACTTATGATATAGAAATACGAGGTGGTTTTTAAGATATCTTTTAAGAATCTACAACTTAAATTTAAAATTTGGGAGTTCTGTTTCGCTGTTCCTTTAAATTTAGTACAAAACTATTAGAACTCAAATCTTTTGTGTACAAATAATCATAATTTGATTATGCTTCACATAAGCCTCATTTATTGTATAAATATTCACTTAATTTAATCTTCACAACAATCGCCAGAACAGCGTTGATGTGAGGCTTTGCTCGCAAATATTCTCTTGCACAAGGCGACCAGGCTGACACATTACTCAGTGTATTCGCCAGATTTAGTCCCGTGTGACTATTTCTGTTCTCAATCATTCATTTTAGTCTAAATCCAAATTTCAGCAACTTTATATCCTTATTTTTAATTGTATTAAGTAAATTCATTCTTCAATGTCTCTATGCAAAGGTACTGCTTAAAAGATGTACGCCGTGTATTCAAAACAACTAAAATAAGTACCTTTGAAATAGAACATACTGTATCAATGGCAATTTTGTTATAAAATTAGAAAAAAATAATTTGTATCAACAAATGATCTCAATCTAATAGCTATATATGTTGTACTAATTAATATTTTTATGTCTCTATTATTAAAAACTATTTTCTTGTATTCTCACTTTATAGAAATTAACCAACGTAGTAGTGATCGAAATATTTTAGAAATATTTAGTTTTATTTTTCCTGACTAGCTTTTATTCAAATACATTAATAACTGTGTATGTTTTCTGAAATATTTTCGATAACTACACTGTTTGGTAATTTTACAGAGCATCTGTCTGGGTTATTTTATTTCTGATTTTGAATTCATTCGTATCTTTCGATTTTTTTGACTTACTTCACACTTAGCATAACCTTATTTGATCCATTTTTGGGCATTAAGCCCCAATTTTTTCCATTCCTCTACTTCTTTTCCAATTATTTTGTTTCCATTTTCCCATTGGTTACTTCTGACGATTTTTTTGTCTTTTCTACTTTAACTTGAAGATGTTTCTCAGGTTAAAGGTCTACGTTTCTTATGATGATCCAGCCTTTTATAACTAAAACTAGTGCTGGACATACTAGTATCCAATCAGGTATTATAGCTGAAAGATCTTCATTCTTCAGTTCTTACATTGTGGCCATCCTCTTTAACTGTTTTGAGTATGTTGTCTTCGATTTTTTAATCAAATTTTACTACTATTACTAAATATGTTCTTGAAGAAATGATAACCACTTGCCACTATCTTGAAATCAAGTTAATATCTAATTAACACATATTTCTTTTATTAGATTTATTGTGAAAGGTTTTTTTTTTCGTACATGCTGTAACATAATACCCGAAAAAATAATAGGACACACCTCCCTCCAAATATCACTATTATAACAATATTCGTTCAGAAGATACGAGGGGGGGGGAGAACGGACTTTTGACTAGCACTGTCGATACCTAAAACTATTAGTTCTTTAGACCATTCCAATATACTAAGGCTCTAACGTTTTTCTTGAATATACTCTCTCCATTATAACAATCTTTTTTCTCTGGAATTCCGTAAATTGCTTTTATTTGTTAACATTTCTTTATATGCAATTCTTGTATACCATCATTCTTGAATATAACAACAGATGCTCTATAATTTCATATTTATTAAAATGTCTCCCCCATTCTACATGATTACCGTTGTAGGACCTGAACCAACCACGCGAAGACCCTACCTCCCGCCAGAACCAAGCCTTTACATCAATCCTGCCGAAGAAGACCACTACGCAGGTGAAGACCTCGAAGTTTACTGTCAATCTTCTGAACGTGGAGTTGTAACGATGTGGTCTAAAGTATCTGGACCGTTATCGAACAATGTCGTAGGTGTTACTGGTTCATTGAAGATCGTTAGCTTGACCCCCGAAAATTCTGGTTTGTACAGATGCGAAGCGAATGGTAGACAAGGAGTGCAGTACAAAGATTACAACCTCAATGTAATTGGTAAGTTAAGAATACAGTTATGTAATATCTTCTGAGCAGCAACTTTTCTTTACAGTTTCTAATTCTTTCAAGGTAATTTTGAACATAATGTTTGATCTGTAGTAGCAACTTTTCTTTAGAGTTTATAATTATTTCCATAATATAATCTAAGGACTCTAAATTCTGTTGAAGAAATGTGAAAAATAAGGGCATTGACTAACCCAACCTTAGTATTCCTTGATATAGTTCTATCTTTCCATATTTTAATTAATTAAGCTCGTGCGTTTCTGGCCATTGCTAGTATATGCTTGATTTCTGAGGAGCTACCACCATTCTTGTTTCTCAGAGAGTCCAAGTTTACAAATCTGTCTACTACTTCGCCACGTGATGTAACTTTATTTTACTTGCTTCTAAACATCATATCTCATCATAATGATCGGTCGATATAGAAAAAGCATCTTTATAAATTATGGACCTATAATGTTCATCTTTGTCTTGGTTGCATTTTTTAGCTTGTAATTTTTAGCAATGTTTGGTTGACTTTTTTTTTAATTTTTAGATGACCAATATAAAGATCAGCCCCCAGTACAAATAAGGGAAGCCCAACGAGGTTCCAGTGTTAGGCTGGATTGCAACACTGATTTAGATGCTGTGGATTACGTCTGGACAAAACAAGGAGGAGAACTACCACGAGGCGTAGACGAATTCTCGGTAAGAGTTGTAAAATTTAATAAGTATATAGCGGTACTATCTTATATATGTTTTAGAAATCTATCCAATTGAATGACGTAGATGGATCCGATGCAGGTGCTTACATGTGTACTGCTAGCAACGGTGAAAGAAGCATCGACATTCCAGTCATTCTAGTAGTAACAGGCATCGTTCCCTACTTTACTCAGGCTCCCAACAGTTATATCACAGTCCCGACTCTATCTGACTCATACATGCAGTTTAACTTTGAGATCTCCTTCAAACCCCAACAGGACACTGGTTTACTCCTCTACAACGGAAACAAAGGTAGCGATATAAGCGGAGACTACATTTCTCTGGCTTTGAAAGGTGGCGTTCCCGAATTTAAATACAACTTAGGAGCAGGAACCACCGTGGTAAGAGCAGACAGGCCTATTACTATTGGAGACTGGCACACAATCAAAATCTCCAGGAACAGAAGGAAAGTAACAATGTACGTTGACGGAGATGGACCCGTTGTAGCCGTTGCTGAAGGAAAATATACCGGATTGGATTTGACTGAGCATATGTATCTTGGAGGTGTACCAAGTCCGAATGGAATATCGCCCGAAGTACTTAATCATGAACAGTATCACGGATTCGTAGGTTGCATCAGCCGCTTTAAGGTAGGTCACGCCCACTTAGACATTTTACGAGAGGCGTTAAATAAGACCGGAATCACGACTTGCGAATCGTGTAGCGAAAGTAGATGCCAGAACCAAGGTGCCTGCCAAGAAGCTTTGTCCAAAGAAGGTTACATGTGCATTTGCTCATCAGGATTTAGTGGACCAACTTGCAATAAACTTAAAGGAGAAGCTTGCTCACCACGTAAGTTATTTTACTGTTTCCTATTAATTAAATCTGTTTTCATTTTACGTCATTTTTAGACCGAAATTTAACGTAAACATTTAAGTTTGACATGTAACTAAATGGCGGTCTTTTGAAGCGATAAATGGAAAAGGAAATCTAGTAATTCTTATCGTATAATACATAATTTCTATTTTTAGACGCTTGCGGAATTGGCAGATGCATCGACACCGACAACGGCTTTGAATGTCAATGTCCTCTTGGTCGTGCCGGAAGAAGATGTGAAAGGGAAATCTCAGTAATCGAACCAGCATTCCAGAATGATGCCTACATAGCGTATCCGACTCCAAAACCTGCCAGGAAACTAAAACTCACCTTAAAAGTGAAACCAAATAACCTAGAAGACGGTATTTTGTTGTATTGTGGTGAAAGCGAGGAAGGTTACGGCAACTTCATCAGTTTGGCTATACGAGACAGACATTTGGAGTTCAGATTTGATGCTGGAAATGGTAAAAGCTTTAACACATAAATTATCCGAATACTTACTTTAAGAATCATCCATTTTAGGTGTCACTGTGATGAGAGACGAAAAAGAACTAATACCTGGCAACTGGCACGTACTTACAGCAACTAGATCATTGAGCGAAGGCAAGCTAATGGTTGACGGTCAAGCACCGGCAATTGGACGACTACCTGGTAATTACAAGACCATCAATTTGCAAACGCCTTTGTACGTAGGAGGATATGACAAACATCACGTCAGAATTAATGAAGGAGTACAAGTCTATTCCGGTTTCAACGGGTGCATAGGCGATGTAAGTACATTAAGATTATTTGAGACAAAATGTAACAGAAATGAAGGTATTAAAGAGAAAATAAGCAAAAATAGAAATATTTGTGACAAAATTATTAAAATACTTTGATAAACACAACAGAAAATACTTACTACCTTCCTAAAAGGATATAAAAGATTCCTAATCATAAACGATCTAATTCAAAATTTGGTTTCCTAATGGGTTGTGCTCAAACAACATTATTTATTATGTGGTGCTAATAAAACGCTTTTTCGTGTAGAAGATCCGGCTCGAAGGACCAATGTGAAAAAAAAATGGCAAAAATATTCAGCGGCGAACTCTGATTAACAAAAAACACAGTTTCTTGGTAACCTTTATTTAAAAACTCACAACTGATAATAATTCAAAAATAATGTTTAGCATGATAGATAGATAGATATAGAGAGATGGCTTTTTGACCTATTCCACTGCGATCTCTCAGATCTATTGTGGTCCTCTAGTCCTAGATAACATTCTCTAGCCTGACCCTTTTTAAAAAGTCTAATAGCTTCGAGACTGTACCTTCCATGTAGCTATTTTCTTCTTTTAATGCAAAGAACCGCACATTTGCCAGACTGTCACACTGGCATATAATCTGTTCTGCTGTTTCTTCTTCTAGGTAACAGAATCTGCACAGGTCATCATCTGATAATCCCATCATAGGATTCCATATGAGACCCTCAACATACGTCGGTAGCACCATATTTCAAATGCCTCCAATCGTTTTATGGCATCTTATGTAAGGCTCCAGCTTTCTACTCCATAGAGGAGGACACTAAAGACATAACATCTAAGAATCGTTATGCGTATATTAATACTTAAAACTGCTCCGTCTATATCTAAAAAAGCGGCCATTGCTATCTCTTTATCTTCCATTGACTTTGAGATAAGCCTATTTAGATCATCCAATGCAGAGTCCGTAGATTTACCAGGTAGTTAATAGAAAAGAAGATACGCTTATCGGTCTATACGACTTTACCTGCCTTAAGCAAGTATACGTCTTTTACCTTTTGCTATATTTCCGCTACCACCGCCAATGCTAAACTGGCTTTAAGAAGCTTGCATAGGTGTGGTATCAATACCTCTGTTCCCATATGTAACAGTATTGAATATATTATGCCATCTGTCCCTGGAGCCGAAACTTATTTAGAGCCCATCTAATTCTGTTTCGTCTTATTATTGCTGTGGCTATTTCCCAATCTGTAGACATTGGTCTAGTCAACCTTTGGTCTATGTTTTCCCTTTTGTTTCAAATTTTACAAAATAAAAGATATTGAGAAAATGATTTAAAAATAATGTAGTAAGACAATTTGCGGCAGTAGCTAATGTTAAAAGCGATCTATATTTATAAACGATCTAATAAAATATCGGTGTTTGAATTAATGTTGTGCTTATCTTATTTAGAGCCCATCTAATTCTGTTTCGTCTTATGATTGCTGTGGCTATTTCCCAATCTTGTAGACATTGGTCTAGTCAACCTTTGGTCTATGTTTTCCCTTTTGTTTCAAATTTTTACAAAATAAAAGATATTGAGAAAATGAATTTAAAAATAATGTAGTAAGACAATTTGCGGCAGTAGCTAATGTTAAAAGCGATCTATATTTATAAACGATCTAATAAAATATCGTGTGTTTGAATTAATGTTATGCTTATAATAGTATATTACATAACGAGAGTTGTAAGAAGCTTATTACATGCGAGTAAAAAAGTAGCGCGCGAGCCGCGTAGCGGCGAGCGCAGTAATTTTACGAGCATGTAATAATCTTACAACTCAAGTTGTGTACTATACTTTTTCTACCATTATTTTTATTTATAAAAATAAAAATTAAATTACCACTATATTTACAGTGACAGATTAATAATTTTTAACCTGTCAAAACAACGCCTGTTAATTACGTTTCCATGGTAACTCGACCAACTGACTTACAAGGCTTATGTGATATTACACATTTTTAATAGAACTGAAGCGTAATTTTTTTTATTACGTGCTAGTCATTACGTGTCAGTATCTGTTATGATGCATTTACTTAGCATCCAAATAGTAGGTAATATACAATTTACTAGGAAGAGAGTTAGAAATAGTATTTTATTAAATATATTATTTACTATATATTCCTCTACAATGTATTATCAGAACTGATTGAGAGTAAAAAATTTTCTTTTTACTATTAGATTAATCTTGCTGGTATCGACATCAATCTGATCCAAAACATAACGGACTCAGCCAACGTACGCGATTGCAGCGCTGAAGATGAGATCGAGAATACCATCTCCGGTGGCAATACCGAAAGACCTTTCAGACACGTCAGCTGTTCCAACAAACCATGCCAAAACGGTGGACAATGCTACCCTCTATCGCCCACTGAATACCAATGCGCTTGTGCTTCAGGATTCACGGGCAGAAACTGCGAAACCTCCGAAAACAAATGCGATCCTAATCCATGTGAGAACCAAGGTACCTGCAGTTTGAAGAATTCCCAATACGTTTGCGATTGCGCCCTTGGATTCACTGGACGTAATTGTGACCAAGGTAAGATATAAAATATATTTTTGTAATAAACTGGGCAGTGTTGAATATTCGACTTTCTTCTGATCGAAAATTTACAAATTATTATGTTGCATCATTAAGTAACTACAATTTTTAAACTTGGTTATCTTTTCCAGTTACCGAACTCCGAAACGACGCCCACTTCGATGGAAATGGTTATCTAGAGTTTAACAGAGACCTTCTTGCTCATCGTGATGGCGAGCAAGAACTTGTAGCCCTGGAACTATCCACAAACCAATCGAGCGGACTTATTTTCTGGCACGGGCAGACCCCAGACGATGATGGACATGGCCACGACTACATTGCCTTAGCGAGTAAGTAATTTAACTCAATCAGACTTAATTTCCCGATTTGACCGCGTCGGATTTTTGGACACCACTCTTTGGAGACTTATCAGGCTCACTTATATACTTTCCCGAGTTCACACATCACTTCAATACTATATCTTATACTGCTGTTGGTTCTTTTGGAGATGAGGTTTTGATGCTAGATGACGAGAAGGCTCTTCTCGAGGTGAGTCCTCACCATGACATCACCACAAACCAGTATAAGATCAGAATCAATATCGAATTAAAAGCACTCTACAATGACGCCGATATTGTCCAAGAAATTAAATCACATCGACTAAGATGGGCAGGCCACTCGCACAGACTACATAACGAGAGACTTGTAAAACTTGTATGGGAGGAGATTCCCACAGGCAAAAGACCACTCGGAAGTCCCAGAATGCGATGGAGAGATAACATCCAATCAGATCTCCGGAAAATAAACATTCCATTTGACCCTAGGTTGATGGAAGACCGAACAAATTGGAAAAAAGTTGTACAGTCAACCAAGACCCATCGAGGGTTGTAGCGCTACGTGATGATGATGATGATGATGATGAGAAGACTCTTGGAGCTGGGGATGTTGGAAAATACGGACATTATTTTATTTTCAAGGTAATCCTGTGGCCATAAATAGCAGCTGTTTTGTTGAGACGATCGGGGCGTTTCTCGACGGCTTTTCGAATAATCCTTGGTTGTCTAGGTTTTTCCAAGGTATATTTATGTGTAGTCAGATATTTAGTTATAAAGTATTTAAGCTTCATCTATGGTTGTGCAACGGTAGAAAAATGTTTACTATAAATGTTTGCTATAACGATCTGGTGGATTTCTTCAAAACACTTTGTACATTTACAAGTGTTTATACGGTCAATTTCTTCCTTTTTATTTATAAAGCAGTTAATATATCGACTATTAAGCAACTGTAACATTTTCTTCATTTTCAGTTAAAAACGGATACCTAGAATACAGTTTCGACCTCGGCAATGGCGCTGTTGTTATAAAGAACAAGAAACGCCGCATTGATGACGGCGATAGACACAGCGTCATCTTGAAGCGCGACGGTAAACGAGGATCCATAGAAATCGACAATACTTGGGTCGAAGAAGGCGAAGCAGAAGGATCATCGACGTCACTTAACGCCGAAGGCAACATTTACATCGGTGGCACGCCAAACATTTCCAGGATGACGGGAAATAAATTCACGAAAGGCTTTAATGGATGTATCCACGGATTTGAATTACAAAATTCCCAAAGATTAGATTTAGGAATAAAGGCTATAAATGGCTTGAACGTCAAGCCTTGTTCTAGGTGAGTTTTTCAATATTATTAATAAATTTCGTTTAAGAACCAATGTCCCTTGAACAAGATCATAGTTTAAATTATTACCTATCTAGCTATTATAGTTTACCTCGGAGCCTAAATTAAAAACTCATTATTTCCACACCAATTAAGATCAATAAGTTCTAGCTGAAATAGGACATTGGTTCTTGAGCAAATTTACCAACTTTTTACGATGAATTAACTGTTGTGATATTTTCACGCTGCCTATGTCTAGACTGCGATGGATTCCGTCCTCTCTGGTATTCGCAGATAGCGATCAATTCGATGAGATAGTAGAACCCCTCCTGTAAATATAATCCATCCCAAACCTTCCAGTTGTGCTCAAACCATCCACAGCATTCACGTTTATTGCGTCTGCTGTTTAAGTTATATCTTGTTCCATCTAATAGTCCGCGTCTGACATTAGATGATCATTATATGACTTAATGAAATGCAATAAATATGTTGGGATAGTTTTAAGGAAATCGGAACCGAACGGCTAATCAATTGATGGCTTTTTTTCATTTGACTCTGCTGAGTGATGATAACACTTAAGAAGCTGTTAAGCTAGATTGCCATCAACAATTATTAAGCCCACAAAATGAAGTAAATACTAAAAAACACGGTATCAGACAGGGATCTCTTATGTCCCCCTTTTAGAAGAATCTACAAATATTTATAATTAGCAATTTCTTATTTTATTTCAAATATTATTTTTTGTAAATAAAAATAGTTATATAAATACATTTAGAATGGTTTGTTGAAGTATTGGTTGCCTATTATATAACCAAACAAGAAAAGCACGTCTTATTATTCTTCTACTCAGCTTCCGCTTAGTCTTCCATTTTTGATTTTTTTATTAGGTTTTTGGAATTTTCTATAAAGGTGTACATTCGCTTTCAGATTTAAGTTTTCTCACTTCTTTGTATCTTGTTCAGTCTTTAGGTATGATTCTTTCCTACAGAACGATTGACCAATTATTTTAAAACGGTTGTTCTCATCCTACCAAATATAGATTTGATTTTATAGCCACTAATCCACCAAAAGCAGATTTTAGATATCAGAACTTTAAACTCGGCAGACGCAGGGTGTGAACACAAACTAGTACTATCAAAAATAAGAATGAAAATAACACCAAAACATTTTCTACGGGAAATCACCGAGAAAACATTTTATGTAGAATCACTGTAGAACGTCTCTATAAGAGAAATGTACAACAAAATAAACAACAACAATACAACATGGTTCATAAAAGAAATAAAAAAATGTAAAGAGAAACGAGAGGCTTACACAAAGTACAAAACATCAAATACTCCAGAATCCCGAGACACCTATAGAAAATTAAAACATGAAACAAAGCAGTTGGTCAAAACAAAAAATGAACACTGGGAACAGTTGGGAATAGTTGGGAATGGAACCATAAGCACAAGCATAATGATACCAATGTTCAAGAGAGGAGATAAAGAAGACCCCAACAGTTATAAGGATATAAATTTACTGAATACCCCTCTTAAACTTACCACAAAAATGCTCCAACAAAAGAAATAAACTAACAACTTTATCAAATGAACAAAAATGATTCAGATTCGGAAGATCCTGCGTAGACGCCGTATTTGTACTAAGACAAATCACAAAAAAGACCATCGGGTACAATAAACCAGCATATCTATATTTTATACAGCTGACAAAGGCTTTCGATCGCATGTAAGTCGATAACGATGACGAAGACGTCTTACACCTACTGTATAAAAGAAACATACCAATACAAACCATCGGAAGCATCTACCTCCATAATCGAATACAGTCAAAGATAAATGGAAAACTAACAAAAGCGGAGTCAGGCAGGGTGACACGTTAAGCCCACTTCTTTTTAATATAATATTGGACGAAATAATACAAGCAGTACGTAAAGGTCATGGTTACAGAATGGGGAACAAGGTAATCCTAATATTATGTTATGCAGACGACGCCGCATTAATCGCAGAGACAGAAAATCCAAAGATTACAAATATATATAACTAGTTACGGAAATGTTCAGGAAGAAGTACGAAAACAAAGCTTAAAAGCAAGTAACGGGGCCGGATCTCTTAATGACACCATCTGGAAGAATAAATACCTAAGACAGGACACAAACCAAGAATCTTTAAAGCAGCAATTAGACCTATATTAACATATATGGGGGAGACAAGACCTGATACATCTAAAACCAGACGACTACTAGAAACAACAGAGATAAAAATACTTCGATGAATATCAGGGAAAAGTCTGTTGGATAGGAAAAGAAGCGAAAACATAAGAAGAGTATTCAATATAGAAAATATAAATGAATTGTTGACGAAACGGAAACAGGAGTGGAACGAAAGCATTAATAGAATGGCAGAGGATAGGATAGTACTAATAGCACGAAATAACTCACCATCACCAAATGGACGAAGAAGTATTGGCAGACCAAGAAACAGTTATTGCGAAAATTTAAACAATTTAGCAGGCTAGTATTGAATAAGAAACATGCTTTAAAGCCTGCATACAAGAAAAAGAAGTTCTCACTCCCGCAGCAATTATTGGTATAAAAAAAATGCATGCCTTGTCATATATCAACGTTGATATATGACAGAGAACATTACATGCGTATGACAAGAAACACTTGAACCTTGTATATGTGCAGGATATTATTATAATTATTATTATCAGGAGCAAAAATAGTTAACTTCAGTTAAAAAAAGATAAACGAATAGAAAGTTAACATATCTGAAGAAATAGAACAAGTTGAATACTTATCCGAAACCAGTACTAGAGAACCAGAAATATACTCTATGGATTTAGAACATAGAACAGAATAGGTCAGGAATAGGATGGACAAAAATGTACAAATTTACTATTTATCTATGCAGATCAGATGATATTTTATAGTGTTGCCTTACAACAGTACTAATATATTGCCTTATACAGTAATAATTTTCCTTAGGACGTTGTACAATTTTAGTAATTTGTTCTTGCATTGTCTTAAAGATTTCGTTGAAGTACTGGTTGCCTATCGTGACGCAACAAGGTAACAGTATTGCCATATAATCCTTTATTCAATATAAATTCTTCAATCAAAACTGTAATCGATTTATAACAATCGATATTATCTATATACGTAAATCTAAAACCTAAAGTCGTTGGATTCCGATTTCCTTGGCCTTTCCCGATATGTTGTGCTAGACAATAGGTATTTTTATTACGTTAAAATATAATGTATAGATATTGTATCATATCATATCAAAATTTTTATTGTTATGTTGACGATTCGTATATTTATAAGGATATATCGTAAGGAAGAACGTATACCTTTTGTTATATCCCTAATTTTTGTAACCGAGACTGCAGGGTGTTTTAAAGACCAGCTGACTATCTGTAAAAGTTGGCCAGACAGGTTAGAGCACACTTTATATAGGGAAAGAAATTAAAGGCAGAATTTACAAAGCAGTCATCAGACCAATAATGACATACGTGGCAGAAACACGACCTGACACAGAGAGAACAAAAAGTATGTTGGAAACAACAGAGATTACAACAATTAGAAAAATTGATGGCAAGTCACTATGGGACAGAACTAGATGTACAGATATATGACGTAGATGTAATGTGAAAAATATCAAGAACTGACTAATAAATAGAAGAGTAGAATGGAATGATCATATAAGTCGAATGACAACAAATAGAGTAGTAAAGACAGCAAAAGACGTTTCCCCAATAGGAAGACGATCAGTAGGAAGACATTGCACATTCAATGCACTGCAGGCACATTGAAAAACAGACAGAGCCATGTCTACATAAAAAGAAGAATAAGAAAAAGAGAACCTTTATCATTTAACGCTTATAATGAAAGATATTGACCTAGAAACAGCATTGATAAGAGTAGATATTTATTTAATTAACAGTAATTGTAGTATAGGTTTCATATTATCCCTAAAAATACGATTTCAAGTCTCTTAAAACTCTTGAAATGTGGACATACAGACGATATCACGAGTGAACCACGTTGCGAACATTGAAGTCTTAAGAAGAATGAAGAAAGAAAATGAAATTGGAAGGACAGTATTAAAACTGCAATACATCAGACGTTTAATGTGTGGTGCAAAATTCGGTATCTTGCATATCATAATCCAAGGCAAAATAAAGGATAGAAGGAGTGTGGAGAGAACATAAATATCTTCACTGAAAAACCAAAGAGAATGGAATGGTTTCAGTTGAAAATAACTCTTTGGAGGAAATGCTTCAAAAGTTAGACTAGCTACGATTGTAGACAATCTCCGTAATAAAAATGACCTTTGAAGAACAAAAAACTAAAAAATTATAATAACCAACTAAACTATTCATTGATATTGAGAAAGCATGTTTTGCAGTAAAAAATTTAATGTGACAATCTCATCCCAGAAAACTAAAACAATAGTAGTCAGCAAAGAACCAACAAGATGTAAAATAGAGATTGATGGCCTGGACAAAGAAGTGAGATCTCAAATACAAAAAGCAACTGGATTGGCAGGATGTCTTAATAACACTATATCGCGAAACAGATACATTGACACTGAGATGAAGTCAAGAATTTATAAAGCCATGTAAGACCAATAATGACATATGTCTCAGAAACACGACCCGACACAGCCGCAACGCAAAGGCTAATGGTACTGAGAACAATTACACGAAATACGCTGAGAGATCGAAAGAGAAGTGCAGACATTAGAAGAAAATGTAACGTACAGTGTGTACATGAATTCCAGGGGTACCAAGAGTTACTATGTTAAGGTACTTCGTCGCATATGTAAACAAAAAGAATTACTAAGAATAATCAGAGGAAAATGCAGTACTTGGGTCATGTGTTGAGAGGCAAAAGATATGAATTACGTCAAGTTATACTGGAAGGAAAAGTACAGGGAAAAATATCAGTAGGAAGACGTCAGAACTCGTGGCTGAAAGTCTCGAGGAGATGGTTCGACTGCTCATCA